TCTCGCACGATTTGATTGTATTAACTGTGTTTGCGGACTAACTCCACGTCACAGACGATTGGATGTGATGAATAGTATGCCTGCGAATGTCGTGCGTCATCAGCAAGCGCGATAATGATTTCGGTATACCAGCTGTTTTGTTTTAGAGACACATTCCATCTACAGTCGTGCGGTCTAGAAGTTTTTTCCTCCCGTTATGAACTCTCGAGGTTGAACATATGCAAATATTATTCGTTTCATTGTATGTTTATTGTAATAACAATATTGATGTTGAAGGCAATGATGCTAAAACATGAATAATAATTCAAGTAATAATTCCAGACAGCATAGTTACGTTCAAAATACGTTAAATAAATGTTAAAGTCATGTAATAAATGTATAAACTGAAAAATAAAAGTTTAAACTTTGATTTGTTTTAAAAACTATTTAATAAACGTTATAAAAACGTTTTTTATAAGACTCAATCTTATAACTCCTATTTAACGGGTTTTTTTTTATTACTATAAAATACCAGTTTTATATGAGATATTTCAACGGTTTAATAAACGTGTATTTAACGTTTTTATACATCATAAAACCGTTTCGATTAAATGTTTTTTAAATATTAATAGTCTGTTTGGGAATAATGTAATAATAACAACAACAACAACAACAAAATCGGTAAAATTGCAAATAATAAATTTGAATAAGTATATTTTAGTTTAGCTCTTTTCCGTTCACACAATCATATTTTCAGCAATTTAATTTTTTCACTTGCGATGTTATCAATTGATAAGGAATCAAGTAAATCGTAGTGAGACGAGACTGTAGATTTTTGAGATCGACACAAATGCACAATACAGGTGGACAACGTCAAGAATATAGAATAAGAATTTGAAATGTCTGACAATAAGTCTTACTCTAAGTTTTAGAATAAGTTTAAATTCTTTGTCGCTGCGCTAGACTGTATTAAAACTTTCTATCTTGCTCTGATTAATTTTTGGTCAATATTTGGTTGTTATATTTAAGATTCTTATATTTGGTTCTTATATTTAAGACCGTTTTAAGTATAGTCTTAAGACGCTATAAACCAATTACAAAACTTAATATGTACTAACATCTTAAGATTTAAGACATTACTGAAAAAACCCTCTAGCACCATCCTGAAATTTTCTATCGTAATTTACACTCTAGGCTCTTGAAGGAATCAGCACATATTTTTTATGGTTCCAGACTACATACAAATGTGAAAAAAATTTTTTTACACTTGTGAAACCTTTAACAATAAGTTTTTGCTATAATAGAAACTGGGGACTTAAAAAATTTTTTATATATTGAAATCTAAATAAGAATTTTGAGAAAACATGTCTCTTTCCGCACAAGAGGCACAACTCTGGAACCGGACTGACAAAAGATAAGAGTGAGCTCCTTAAAACAATGTCGGCGATACCGCAATGACTTCCTCCTTCTTCATATCTCTTTTTCCCTCACATATGGTACATGGATAGAAGAGACTGCCACGAATCCGGCGCGAACCGGCTCGATACTCGCATTAGCCGGTGCAATGACTGGAAATTCCGATAAGTGCGCTCGTCGTCGCCGCGTTGCGCCGCGTTGCGCCGCGTCGCGCCCGCGCCGCAGCGCTCGCGAAAACGCGATACCGGATTCCTCAGTCACGACGACGACGAATCGCGCTTTTTTTGTGCGATGATGACGACGTCTTGTTTCTTTTTCATTTTTCAAGCTATTTGCTCGCGCGACCAAACGCTCGCTGCGGCAGCTGTTCTTCGTCGCACGTTACATAACGCATCTTCGACGGATGAGCTGTATGTGATGCAAGACGTATCGTGCACCTGTGTATGCACACGACATCGTCGAGAGTTTCGGAGTTAGTTTAGACGTGACTTGATGTTGGATAGAATAAAAGTTAAACATAATAGAATAAACGTAACATGGATCACGCCTACTTTGTTATGTTCAAATAAACATGGTAAATAAATTTTGAAATAAGAATAAATCTAAATTGAATAAATAGGAAGAAAATTAAATTATATATAGCGTTTTTTCATTATGTGCTGGATGTTATATATTCTTTATTTTCTTTCAATCAAACCGGAAATATTTTTCTATTCTAATAATATCAACTAACTTATTTTTGTATAGTACTGTTTTATGTTTTATTTTTTAAATATTAAAAATAATATTTGAATTATAAAATATATAAATTTATAAACAAATAAATGCGTATAATTTTACAAATCAATAGTAAAGATTAATGTTGTTGATGCTAATCGGGGTTTAAATCTGTCTTCACCACGATGCGGTGTATATTTACAGCAGGACTTATGATCTAAATAGAGCATCGTTGAAGTTAGTTAAGCACGGCACGTGGTAATAATAAATTCGAACTCGACGCGTGTGAGCTTATACGACATTTGTTATCGCATTGAGAGAGGAAGATGACATATTTTTTCATCCGCTGTCGTAAAAGGAAAGAGAATAAACGCGCAGCAAACGCGTCGGTGATTTCCCTGGTTTACATTCGCGAATGCTAATATGAGCATAGAAATTGTGTCACTGTATTACAATGTTTCCGTCCAAGAGTGAATACATATTCTAAATTTAATATATTGTAAAATACAGAACGCGATAATGCGTACTTCGAGATGCATTCAACTATTGCTTAACTGCACAATGGTCCACTGATCATTATCTTTCTCTCTATAATTTTTAAATCGTATTTCAAATTAAAATAAGGTAAACTTAAGAGCAGTAAAAAATTGAATTATACATATAATAATTATTTGATTATTTATGTTTGAAATACAGAGAACTCTATATTATATTATCTACAAAACTTTAAATATCAATTCATATTTATACATATAAGGATATCGCATTCAATTTTGCGCGAATGCAAAATATAATTGTCAACATATTTGTGACACTTTAGCTTTTATATATTATTGGCTTTATTATTAAATTCTTATTATTGATTTTTGTTATTAATTTTTGATTTTTTACTGTAATCATTTTTTTATATACAAAATTAATAATTTTTTCCAATTTTTACATTATCGCTGAATCTCAGAATTAGCAACAAGTAATTAAAGTAATTTTGTTAAAAGTGACGAATTATCATAAAAAAAATTAGAAGCTGCTAAATAGTAATCGTGAAATAAAGAAAATAAATGAGATAAATTCTAACAAGTAGATCTAGATAGAAGAAATCGCAAACACTTTGATGCATATTTATACTGCGCATTTAATACTCAAAACAGCGTAGATATACGTATACTTGGAAGTTTATCTGTTGCATATTGACTAATTATTGATTATCAATTAGCTATTTAATTTCGAGTTACTATTGATTAAGTTAGAAATTCAATTAATTTTAGCCAATTAATACACATATATACACACATATATTGATATTTATATGATACCTATGCCATCAATTATATGTAAACATATAATGTTCATTTACACTATATTTGAAATAATAAACGTAATGAAATCAATATTTAAATAATTAATTTTTTAATCTCTAAGAATATATGTGCTACATTTAAAAACAGTGTTAAAAATATAAGAATTTCATAAATTGTTTTATTATTACGTATCTGTGTATTTGAGCGCAATTCTCTTATTGATTTAAAAGTTACTTAATTTTCTGTTTGTCTTCATATTTATATAAATATTTGATATCTACTTGTTTGCAAATTTAATGAGGAAATAACATTAAAAATTACATTAAATTTTATACATACGTAATAAAATAATAAATATTTGTATTTATTTTGATCCACTTATTTACGTGAAATTATGATCTAAAATTGCTGCAAAATTATAATTATTTTGCTACATATTAGCTTGTTCGGAAAGTTCGTTTCAAATTTTCTAGTTCAAAGTAGTATATAGTGTATATTTAAAAAATTAGCGATTATATAATATTATTCGATAGAGCAAAGTTTCAGTTTTAAGAATCTGATTTCTTAATTGCGGTACGATGATTTTCTACGGATTATAAATAATTAAAGTCAAAATGTTCTTTTACTTAATTCGCGAATAACTCAGGAACATGAAATGTAGAAATCTTTTTTTTTAAATGATTTTGTTTGGAAAGCTTATTCAAGCTTTTACGATAAGTAGTCGAAGATTTTCGCAAATTTTTTTGGATTCGTGAAATATCTACAAAGTGAAAAGAAAAATTTTAATTTTTTTCAGCTAGTAATTTTTTATGTCACAATTATCAAACTCACAGAAACTCAAAAATATAGTAATTTTTTGAAAGTAGAGATTTTATAAGCTTTAAGAACCTTTTTAAATTTAAATTTTGTTAATTTTTTACGAAGATATTGTATATACAATTTTGAGCTAGAAAATTAAAATGAACTTTCCGAATAATATCTAATAAAACCTAATAAACGGTTATAAGTTAAATTATGTGTTTTGTTATTTGCACTTTGGTTTCAGGTAATATTTACGAATTAATATCATCAAAATGTTTTGAATGACTGATATTGGCTTTTTTGTCTGATGGTTTTACTAATACTTTTAGCTAACATTGTATGTACCTACAGTATTCTTTAATCTTCTTTAATAACCTTCATAACTATTATACTATATTTTTAAATTCGTGGAGCTTCGCGATATTTTTCTTTGAATGCTGCGTAAATAGATCAACGATCGCAAACAGCTGTTTGAAAAAATATTGCGTGTTTTACGAATGTCGAATCGTTTTTGATGACGCTATATAACGAATGAAAATAAATACGTGGCGAGAACGAGAGAGAGCCGACATACGTCAGTTCTCTATTCCTCGCAGAGGAGAAGAGCGAGATGGCAGGATCTGCGTTTAGAGCGTCTGCCGGTTACCTGGCGCTTCGTCATCATCGCCGTCGTCGTCGTCGTTGTTGTTGGCGACGTTCCTCCGGTTTTAGTAGTAGCGTCGCGACGCCCCAGTTCGACCGATCCGCTCGCGCGTTCGCGCGCGTAATCGTGCGAAGCGAAGCAACGCGATGCAAGGCGGTGGCGCGTCCGAGACCGCGCAGCAGATCGTCGAGTTCGAGGAGTTGGTATCGCGTCTGGATCGCATCAACGACGTTGTGATTCGGCGACCGTCGACAACGACGACGACGACGACGACGTCGACGACGTCGACGTCGGTGCCGCCGCCGGCACGAGCGTCGTTGCATCTTCCCGGCGCGGCATCGTCCCTGCCTTACGACTATCTCATCGCGGATGCGACGCGTTCGCCCGTCAACGACGAGCAGCAACGGGTGCGCGTGCACATCGGCATCGACGAGGATCTGCGAATGATCCTCGAGATGGACCCGTCGATCGTCGACGGGACCCTCGACTCTGGTTCGCCCGAAAGTTGTCCCACCATGGCACGACCGTTGCGCGCCACGCGACCGCAAGGCTGGTACTGCACCGATCGAGACTAACTCCTTAGTGTCTGATGTTCGTGCGCATTATACAATTATTTTATTTGCTGTTACTTTTAATCATTGTGCTGGCATTTGCATTGTCTAGTGTTGATTCTAATTGATCTGGAAATAGTCACCTGGAATGAGTTTTTCCCCAGCTGCAGCAGCGCGAGAAAATAAAATTCAATCTCACACAGTGATTTTCTTTACTAAACTCTATATGTATATGTGTATTCTTTTTATTTTTCTTACTTTTTTTTAAAAGAAAATATAGAGCAAATTTATATACTTACATAACGATATTGATAAATTGTAGCAATCAGTGCAATATCTCATATCAGTGCTATCATAGATAGCAAATTGACATTATTTGTCGTCATTTTAATGTTATTACAGATGACGACAAATAACTTATTACATATCTTGGGATATAGTTAATAATTTAATTAGAGATTGATGATTTAATTGGGATGTAAAAGTCACCCTCTCTATTAAATGATAGTTTATATATGTATACTATGATATACAAAACCAAGTGACTATTCCTGGGTTAAAAATCCGGATACCTACCAAGGATTTATTAATATCTTTGTATCATGTTCGAGAAATTTTACACGTCATGTACCACGCTGTGATGGTTATACGATACCAAAAGCCATTTGTTTTCGTTTGTCATCTTGGTCTTTAGTGATGTAATCTGGGATGTCTATTGCAGTTTCTACAAGTAATGACATACTTGTAGATACGTTTGTACAATGACTATTTGACTAATATTCTGTAAAAACTAAAGATAGCACTGCTGCTTTGACAGTTGCATGTGCGTGAATAGACAATATTTTTGTGCATCGACCACGTAATCGAAAAATGCCATATAAGTCTGACTACGTTATGTTTCATTCATGTGCTTTTAGAGAAGAGTGCCTCAGTTTTTGTTATTGATTATTATTTCTAAAAATATGTAATATAAAAAATAAGGATTTCATTGAATTCTATTTATAGTTATTTCTGACCAGATGTCCGATTTTCTCTTTTTTTGAAACGTCCGGAGACGAGTTTTTTCAGCATATCCAAAGTGTAAACTCTTTTTGATACTCATTTTGAGAGAAAGCGAGAGAACCGAAAGTTATTAAGCCTATCGCACACATAAATAATATATAATAATTATTAGATCATTTCTATGTATTTGTGATAAAATATTTGAAAATTATTATATTGAAGCCGTTTTTGTGGTAATACTCAATCATGTTTTTTTTACTGTTCTTAGAAGTTTTAGATGTATTATTTTTTTTACTTTTGAATTCAAATATACTACTTATTTTTTGTACTACAATTTAATCTAAACTACCTTCTTTTTTGTCCTACCTTTGTACTACTTTTCAGTCAGGAATGTATCCTAGTTTATCTAGATTAGATCTGATCACCCTAGTTATTCCTTATATTTTAATATCGCCAAAACTTTCGAAGATTATTGATCATCTTAAATGTAAAATTAAAAATTAAAATCCCAATTTCGGCATTCAAGCTTACGAAAACAGCGTGGCGTGAATTTTTCATTAAAAACAAGCATATAATTTATAGATTTTGATTTGTTTATCGTTGCTTTGTTTACGAAAGAAATAGTAAGAGTACTTTGTGCGCAAATTACTTGTACAATTCGTTCTGTCTCGGTTTATTCTTTCAACATTTATACCGTCGTTATTTCTCAGTTTATAATCCACACCGCAATCAATGTCACCTATCGACTCTTTATCGTTTCGAGACAAGGAACACCAGTTCTTCCTATTTCATGCGCTCTGCACTTGCACGTCGTCTACGTCGGTCGTAAACATTACGTCCAAATTTAAACGTCCTTGTTGCAACTCGTCACTGAATCACGAATCGCTCGCCTTTGCCTGTGATCTCGTCGATGCTTCGTTGCGGAGAAACGAGCGCGGTGACGACAATCGATGAAACGATGCAATGCGTTGTAACAATACGAAAGTGCATTGAGTGCGAATTGTACTCAGACCCGGTTACATTGTGCCATAATGTAAGAGTATAAGATCTATTATTGCGCATAATGGTGGCAGAATAATAGCACAATCAATTAAATTTTAGTTTTCTCTTAATAGTGATTAATGTTTTAACTTAATTTTAATATTAACAACTATATTAATATGTTGTTTAAATTTCGGGCAAATTTTTGGTTGTTTTAAAGAACAGTCATCATATTGGACGACTACGTATTTTTGAGAATGATATATCTTATATTTTTATATTATATACATTGAGCAGTCCCATTAATATTGACTTTTTCTAAAAATTTTTTTAATAATCTATGTTAAAATATAACCTAATAATTTTACAAAATTGGAAAATTTGTGTTAAATTTAACACAAATTTTACTTGTTCCAAACGTGTCCATTTAAATTTTCGTATTAGACTTAGATTATTTCGTTGCCTACGTTCCCTATATTCCCTTTATAGATTTACATTCCGTATTAATGATAGTTGATATTTTCTAATTGTTATTTAAAAAATTTTAATGTTAACATTACATATTAACATTAATGTTGTTTTTTTTACAATTTGGGACAAGTTTTAAATTAGCTCAAAGAGCAGTCATCATATTGGACGACTACGCGTTGTCGGGAATGATACATCTTATATTTTTACATCATGCATTGAGTAACCTCGTCAACGGGTGTCTTCTGAAAATTCCTCTTATAATCTGTCCCTGAAAAATAGCGTTAAGATCTCTCCGCTAAAAGCGTCGATTCCGAACTTGTAGACGTCGTCGGCGATAGACGGTTTGCGATATTTCATCGTTGACATCTTTATTACTCGCTATTAAAACGTTTGGTGTTAAAATATAGCAGCTCGTGTTTATCTTGGATCATTACAGATATGTAGTTTTATGTAGGCTATCATGAACATTTTTTGTATATTTTAAATTGACCAATTATTTTTTATTTCTTCGACATCATATGAATAATATGTATGTCTTGAGAGTTACGATGAATTTTTGCATGATTTTGCTCTCATATTAATGGTGAAAAATCACTGATTAAGGTTTGATAATAATTCAACAAAGTAATTAATTTTAACATTACTATCAGTAATATTACTATGGTACTCGAGAGTAATGGCTTTGTGATAATCAATCCAAAAATTCTATTGAGGCTGAATGATTCGATGTTAAATTTAGCACGTTAACCGAGCCTGTCATAATAACGTAACATAAACATTGTGCGCTGAAATTATCTGAATTTAACTATCCCCCCTTCTGTACACGCCGGTATAAACGCCCACCATGTCCCCCTATCGATTATCAGTATACGTAAAATGCATCGTGTAACGTAGGTTCATACAATCGCACACACACACGTCATAAATATTCAAACAATTTCATGTTACCGGTGGCTATTGAGGAAAAGAGCGCGGGAGGAAAATTACGAGCGTCGTTGCTAGTAGAAGTTGAAAATGAATATGGAAGCTACGAAGTTCCAATAATAGCGACGTATAAATTAACCAATATTTTTCCTTTCGAAATAAAAACAGGAAGTACAACGGTCGATTCGTTGCGCGCGTACTTAATTGGCGCGCACAATTTATCAAACCTCTTTCGCCTTTTCATTTGAATGAAACTGCGTATGTATACGCGTGAAAATGCTAGGGTATACGTCGAAATCCATATTGGTTAGCATTTGGTTTTCTTATATGCGCGTTACGCACTGATACTTGGATCGGATCCAGATTGTAACGCGCCTCTGACGCTCCGACAACAAGTCGCTATTCTGCTTTAGTCGGAACTCGCGTTTTTAAGTCGCTTATATATAGCGACGAAACCATTTATATATAACCGGCGGCAATCCGTAGCCAATGACTTCGCGAATTTCAAGTGGACCTATATAGCTTCGCGAATTCTCAATTATTTGTAGCGTAGTTATAAATCGTAGAGAAATTACATGAATTTTTTTATTTGCGTATTATTTTTAATTTTGTCTCTCTCGAAGTCAATTGTATTAAAAGAGAATAAGAATACAGGAAACTGTATTTCCTGCCAGAGTTATTGGTGGACAGAGAAATAATTTGATGTACTGAGATTAATGAAAAAAACAATAATACACATTTTAAATAATATATTAATGTTTAAAGTATAAATTATCAGTGTTTGAATATGTCAATGTTTAAATTATAAATTATCATTGTTTCAACCATAATTCTCAAATGCAACATCTAATGCTACCATTTCAATTTTACATGTAGCTAAATACAATAGTGTGCTAGAATCGTTTTTCCATGACCATTTTTGCTCTATAAATATCACACAATATCTAATCATATCTCGACAATATATAATTATTCTAGTTTAGTGCTCATACTTTTAACTTGTATATTTATCACAAGCGATGGTCATAGTCTATACTCTGTAAATTTCAGTTATAACCGTCACTATAATTAATCTATTACTGCTGTAATAATACTTTATTACATATTTTTAGCACTAATGATAGAGAGACATAAATAACAAAATATAAATATACAATATAAAAATATAAATCAAATAATTTTAAGAGGAAACCGTCCCCTTCCTCAGTTGGGAGAAAAATCATTCTCCATGTGATATATTACATTTTGCAAGAAAAATTAATCGGTCTTTGTGTTGGAATTGTATAATGATTAAATTGTACGGGTTGTGTCCAACGACCATCTTTGCCCATAAACGTTACACTGACCGTATCGCGAATAATTTCTCGCTAAATCGCCTTGTCGCACGGGCTAATTACGTTGTGCGCGCGTGCCGGTCGCCATTTACACGACCTTGTTCCTGATTTTCGTGCAGGAGCTTTCGATTACTCGGTTCCGCTACGGTAAGCGAGAATGGTAACGGTAACGGTAACGTCGCCTCTGTAACGTATCGGCTGATTTTCATCTCCTCTCTCTCTCTCTCTCTCTCTTTCTCTCTTTATCTATCTATCTCTCTATCTCGTTTCGCTGATTCCTGCATTTGCAT